TGCATGTGCATATGCACATACCTTTGGAAGGATACCCAAGAAACTACAGTTGCCACAGAGAAAGGGAACTCAGTGGTAGGGGATGAGAGAATTTATATCGTTCGGTTTTACTTGTAGATGTCCACCCTTCTGAATAGTATTATCTGGATTAGCACCAAGCATCAAATTCACACTGGACTTACCCAAGGATGAAATAAGGGAATCTAAGGCACTCCTGGGTGGCTCAGTCTTTAAGCGTCTGCCTTTGGCTCAGGTCATGAACCCAGGGTCCTGGGATCGAGCCCCAATGCCTGCCTCTCCCCTGCTTGTGTGCTCTCTCTCTCTCTCTGACAAATAAATAAAATCATAAAAAAAAAAAAAGAAAGAAAGAAATATGGGAGTCTAAGATTTTGAGAGGTTATCACTAGATCTGGGGGACCCCACTGTCTTGGCTGGAGAGCCCCCAAAGAATTGTGTCTGGTCTCATGGCCTTTAAATTTTCTCCTTTTGAGCAAGCTCCTCCCATGTCTGTTTTACTTTCCTACTGCGTGTTCTCCGCAATTCTCCCTCTACTCCTTCCTGAGTTATCTCATAGTTTAGCTTTCAGATTTTGATGAAGTTCAGTTTACACCTTTAGCCCCAATAATTACATGGATAGAATAGAGGCACCTCAAAAGACCTAACTCATCATTTCTCCACACTAGCCCTCTTGCTACATTATCTGTTATTACCCAAGTCAGAAACGTGGAGAATTCCTCACTCTTCCCTTTGTGTCACCCATCCCCAACCCACATACCAACCCATCACAAAGTCCTGATAATTTGAATCCTAACTACCTGTGGAATGCCGATCTGCACCCTCATTTCTGGCCACCCACCCACCTCTAAGGACCTGCACTTAAGGTGTGAGACTTTATCATCTTTTGCCTGCACCTTTGCGATTATTCCCTATCAAGTCTTCCCACTCCACTATGGTCCCCTCCAATCTAGCCTGAGTGATTCCTTTAAAACACCCATCTGACCATGCCAGTCTCCTATTAAATCCCTTCACTGGCTCCTTCTCACCTATAATAGCTGTTTTAGCCCCTAAATACCTGGGGGGGAGGCATTTCCATGAGCAGATCTCCCATAAGCAGACCAGATTTCTTATGGGATACTCATGTACAAAACAAACTGTGGTCCATGCTCAATTTTTATTCCACCAGCAGTAAAACAATCCCTCCATCTTCCATTGTCCCAGTACATAGTAGGTTGCAATAAGCCCATAGGTCCAAAACCGCACCTAAGAATTTCTGACCCACAGACTAGAGTCCAGATTCCTTTGATGCCTACAAGGAAGGTCCTTTCTGAGTGGATCTAATGAACTCTTCACCCTTATTTCTTTTTTTTTTTTCTGTTTTATTTTATTTTATTTTATTATGTTATGTTAGTCACCATACTTGACATCATTAGTTTTTGATGTAGTGTTCCATGATTCATTGTTTGCATATAACACCCAGTGGTCTATTCAATACGTGCCCTCCTTAATACCCATCACCAGAATAACCCATCCTCCCACCCCCCCTTCCCTCTAAAACCCTGTTTGTTTCTCAGAGTCCATAGTCTCTCATGGTTCTTCTCCCCCTCCGATTTCCCCCCTTCATTTTTCCCTTCCTACTATCTTTTTTTTTTCAACATATAATGTATTATTTGTTTCAGAGGTACAGATCTGTGATTCATCAGTCTTACACAATTCACAACCCTCACCATAGCACATACCCTCCCCAATGTCTATCACCCAGCCACCCCATCCCTCCCACCCCCCACCACTCCAGCAACCCTCAGTTTGTTTCCTGAGATTAAGAATTCCTCATATCAGTGAGATCATATAATACTTGTCTTTCTCTGATTGACTTATTTCGCTCAGCATATTACCCTCTAGTTCCATCCACGTTGTTGCAAATGGCAAGACTTCGGGGGTTTTTGATGGCTGCATAATATTCCATTATATATATACACCACATCTTCTTTATCCATTCATCTGTTGATGGACATCTTGGCTCTTTCCATGGTTTGGCTATTGTGGACATTGCTGCTATAAACATTGTTCGCCCTTATTTCTTGTCACTAACTTCATGCTCCTTCAGATGATCAAACACTTCATGTAATTTCATTCTTCCATGTCTTTACCCATATTATTCCTTCTGTCTGGAGTGTCCTTCTCTGCCTTGTCTGCCCAACAAATTCCTGTTTATCCTCTAAAACCCTGCATGCATCCCTTCCGTATGTATCATTTCTACACCTTATGTGTGTGTTTATCATCACCTGGGTCGAGTGCATTGTAACAGCACATATGCCTACACCCCAACACCCAAGCCTCTGAGCTCTTTGACAGCAAGAGCCATGTCTTGCTCATCATAGTATCCCCAAACATGTGGACTTGTCCCTGACACATAGTATGTGTGTAGGAACTGTTTGTTGAACTGAATGGAATCCCAGATTTTTCCTTGCTGTCTCTCTAGTACTAATGCACTTCATATTAGTCGATTTAGTTCTTCAACTAATTATATACTGACCTACACATGGTTTTCATTTAGTCCTCTGACCTGACAGGTTTTGATAAGTCTCACTGTAAATTATAGGGTCTGTGTTTTATGTCTGACCTTACCAAGAAAACCCAAGTCCAAACAAGATGAACAAGAGTATCTCCAATGTAAAATATAACTAAAGAAAGTTGTAACATAAGAAAGAAGTTAGAAAATGTGTGCCAGAGTACTAGAACACTCTCATTGGTTCATTCACTCAGTAGTATCCCAGGTGTTGTATCTAGTGGCCCCAGAAGTCTTCTCTCCCGTGGAGGAAAGTAAACCATCTCCCTCAAGGCCACTCAACTCCCATTGTTCTAAATCAATAATCACCACGCCACCTATTCTGACTAACTCAGTTTAGTCAGGTATCTTGATAACAGGATGGGGAGCTCTGGTATTTCAGTCACTGAATATGTGACGAACTAATACATGGGCATTATGGTTCACACATCCATCACTTATGTGTTTAGTTCACAAATATTAGTCCTCAGAAGCAGATTCAAATTGGGTGCACTACCAAAATCAATTCTACATCACTACAGAGCTGTCTCTGGGCCACAGTGACCATGCCAAGGCATTTCCCTCCTTGGTGCCCTCGACAGCCAGCTGTCTTCTACTTCTTTGTCACTCCCTTTTAATTTCATGCAACTACTTCTGTATAACTTATTCACAATTCACAAAGCATTTCACATTATGTATTTTATCCTCTTGACGTCCAGAAGCAAATAGTCTCATCCCCATTTTATCTACAAGGCAAGTGAAGCTCAGAAAGGCCAACTGATTTGTCCAAGGATCCACACATCCAGTGAGCTGTGGATTATTTTCCTTAACCCGCCCCTTAAATACCACAGTAGCTTAAACCCAGTTTCTCTGAATTGAAGTTTGTTCTTTTTCACATCAGTCCAGACAGGATTGGAGAGGAGAGATATACCTCACCAGGTTGTATTTACATTATACTCTTGTTGATCTATACTCTCTTTATTCCCTTCAGTTCTGGTTGACACTAGAGCTAGGAAGACTTTTCTTAATTGGAAGTTATGAAAATTAATCTTCAGGAAAGTTGACTGACCTTTTCATGGTCATAGAACCCCTTGGAAGCTGATGTTCATTGGTCTTTAGAGCAAGCATCTACTGAGCTGTCTAGAGACCAACAAGCAATGTTACAATAGCCAGATCAGCAGCAGCATTACTATCAAAAATGGCACTATCAAAAATACCAGTGCTAATCCTTACAATAATTCCCACAAGGAAGGCATGTTATCCCCATTTTAGAGATAATAAAACTGAGGTACAGAGAGGTCTGTAACTTGCACATTATCACAAAGCTAGTAAATAAGGTAGTAAGATCCAAACCCAAGAATATCTGAGTCCAAATGCCCATGCTTCTGATCACTATGCTTTCCCGTTGAACTACTTCACAAGTACGAGCTATATGTGCACAACTGAACTTCTTAGATTGAACAGAGCTTTGGGTAGGGGCCTGAAAGAGGAGAAATGGATACATGACCACTCTTGGCTCTTGAACTCCCAAGCCAAAGTCTGTATTCTGGCCGTAGCACCTGTGGTACCCATGCCCTTCTCATCACTGACTGTTCCACATGACCAATTACTTTTCCACACCATACTTTCCTTTCTTCTCAATACCAAACTCCTCCTTCCCAAACTCCTTGCTCACTGCCCTTTCCAAGAAAGACGTCTCAGACGAATAAAAGTTTCTCGGATGAATACTCCAGTCTCTCCATTTCTCCATGACATCTGCACACTCTGGGAAAGAGTGTGTTGTATTTAACTATCAAATGCTTAAAGATGAATGGTGCCTGACCAGGGTCCCCATCTTGCCCATCATTTTCATGTGTCCCAACTCCCCCATATGCTACATGGCTCCAAGGTCTTCTTTGCCTCCCACAAAGCACCCACTCAGGACAGACAGTGCCATGAACAAAGGAAATTGAGACTCAGAGAGAATTTCAAAATGCAGTTTATTGCAGCAATACAAGGAAGGGGGGAGTTTAAGACCTCTCCACAAAAGACAATCAACTTGTTCACACTTTATATACAAAACCAAAGCAGCACAGAGCTTGCTCCAAGAAAGAGGGTATTAAGGAGTGTCCAGAGCATGTGCTCCATGAACAGCAAAGAAGCTATGGTTCTAACCAGCCCTCATCTGGCTGACTTAAGGAGGTGCTTTGAAATGTAATGTGTGTAGTGGTCATTGCTGAACTGTTTCTCGGGTGAAGCACAAAGCAGGGTCATAGCCAGAGGGGCTGAGAGTGCCACTGATCTAAAAACTTCTTTGGGAAGCAGAGAAGATAGGAAAGAGCTGGGGAACTGGGGTGAACTGGTGTAACTAATGAAAGCTCTTTTCTCCAATGAGGCTGGGGCAACTGACCTTGGTCTTGCCAAGCATATTTGGCAGTGATGGAGAGGGAGAGCTAACAGGATGGAGGACACCTCTTTATCTGACTGCTTTGGAATAGCTGGTGGAAACAAACTTCACGCTGGAACTGCCACTAGAGGTCTTGGTACGGCCAGAGCTGGATCCCCGGCCTCCGGCGCTCCCTCCAGAACCCCAGCTGCCCCCTCCAGAGCCGCCTCTGTGGCCCCCACTGCTGCTACCGGAGCCATAGCCAACCCCGCCGCCACCTCCAGAGCCGTAACTGCCACCGCCCCCGCCTCCGGAGCCATAACTGCCGCCTCCAGAACCGTAACTGCCGCCTCCAAGACCGTAGCCACCGCCGCTGCCGCCGCCTCCGGAGCTGAAACCCCCGCCTCCTCGGCCACCACCTCCACTGATGGTGGTGTGGCTGGTGTTCACAGCTGCAAGGGGACACTCAGTTATCGTCAGCCCACCTCCCTTTCCAGCCCAGCAAAACCTGCACGTGCCCCCCGGGAAAGCAGCTTGTACTTACACACGCTCACGCTCGGGGTACACTCTCCTGACATCCTGTAGGAGGAAGAAAAGCAAATCCCTCATGACTCTCCAGCTGCCGAGGCAGAGATTCTCCCCATTTGGGGCTCCTCCTCCCCACTTGATCTGAAACCCGATCCAGTCCCCTTGGCCTCCCAAACTTCTGCCATCTTCTCAGCACGAACACAGAGAGAAATCTCCATGGAAGAGAGACGAGATAGACGAGAGTCTTGAAGTGAGTGCCATTACCTTTAGGCCAGATGACATCTGAGCCAGCCCAGATGGAGAATAGATTATTCCTTCTCAAAGCGCTTCATGGAGATGTGATAGCCCTCCAAACAAAGTTGAGGTCCCAAAAAGACCAAGTCTTTCCTCCTGTGCCCTATACCTCTCCTCTCCCCCTACCCAGGACAAGCTGCAGCCTCTTGGCTGCATGCTGGATAGCAGTCAGCTTACAAGGGAAGAAGCACCATAAGAAATGGCCAAACTGCTCAGGGTTCTGTCCTCACCTGCTTTCCTCTCCTTCCAGAAGGGTTCTGTAGGTGGCGATCTCCATGTCCAAGGCCAGTTTGGTGTTCATCAGCTCCTGGTAGTCACGCAGCAGGCGGGCCATGTCCTCCTTGGCCCTGTGCAGGGCATCCTCCAGCTCGGCCAGCTTGCTCTGGGCATCTTTGAGGGCATTCTCACCACGCTGCTCGGCATCATTGATGGACTGCTGCAGCGCGGAGATCTAAGAGAGGAGAAGCCCATATGTTACACACTGTCCTATCACCTAATCCCACCCTTGCCTTCTTATCTCAGATTCCTCTGTCCACCTCAGTGAGGCTGCTACCCTGGGTCCAGCAGAATCACAACAGTTTTAAGTCAACTCATGGCTCTGGATAAGACATCACTGCCTCTGGATAGCTCGTCACTGCGTTACTTCCTTAAAAGCCCTTAAAGGGAAGGCAGCAGCCTCTCCTGGCCCTGACTTGAAGCTTCTCTAACCCTTACACACCTGACATTCTTCTAAACTCCTACCCTGAAACCTCCTGGCCGCCTTTCCTCTCATTCACCACGTCTTTGCATCATGAGCTAGATCACTCATGACCATCACATCCATTTCTCTGCCAGCTCATTTTCACAAGCTTCCCTAAAGAGAACCCAGCACAAAAGCTGAATTGTGGAAATCAGAATGATCACCAAAGGCTTGGAGCAGATTGCAAGATTCAACACTAGGAAAGTGTCCTCCAGTTACCTGAGCCTCCCTCCCCAATGCCATATATCTATAGCTGAGCAGTAGAAGGAAGGAACAAGTACCTGCTTCTTAACACTATCAATTTCAGATCGAAGTCTCTGGGCCATCCGATTCAGCTCTGAAATCTCCATCTTTGTACTTTTCAGATTGTCCCCATGTTTGCCAGCAGTTATCTGGAGCTCTTCATACTAAAGATGGTGCATAAAGTCAATTAGATGTGGCAGAGCATACCATGGCTCACACATACAAATATAAGAGAAAACACAGGACAGCAAGACAAGACATTTCAGGAAAACTGGCTAGACATTCGGCTCATTCACCTTGGTCTGGTACAGTGTCTCGGCCTCAACCTTGCTCTTCTGGGCGATCTCCTCATACTGAGCTTTGACCTCAGCGATGATGCTGTCCAGGTCCAGGCTGCGGTTGTTGTCCATGGACAGGATGACATTGGTTTCGCTGATTTGAGTCTGCATCTGAGACAGCTCCTGCAAGACATATTAGTTCAGTGACTCTTACAGTGTTAAAACAAAACACAACTTAGAGGGGGAGTCAGGAGATGGAAGATGTATCTTTGTTCTTCTGGATAGTGATGGGCGTAGGCTCAGAGGCTCTTCATTTGGGTAAACACGGTCAAAAGCAGAGGACTTACTGCCTGGTAGAGCACTGTGAGGAAATCAATTTCCTGCTGCAAGTTGTCAACTTTGGCCTGAAGGTCCACCTTAGTCATATAAGCAGCATCCACATCCTAGAGGAATAATGGACATCGTGAAGTCATGTTCTTCCCAGGGCAAGTCCCTCTTACCAGCTGTAAGGGGCCTCTCCAAGTAGAACAAGCATTTGGAGTCTCCTCCACACCTTCCTACTCCAGGTGGATCACAATCCCTAGACTGCCCCACCCCTTGGAATCACAATCACAGGACAGCTCGCCTGAGTCGCTGAAAACTTGCCTCCCTGCCTCCTCCATGAAGGCCTGAGAGAGCTGGAGAAGCAAATAGCCTGGATAAGCCCAGGTCCATGATAATGTGGGGGGCAAACTCTAGTGGGCTATTCATCAGGCCCCCCACCAGGTTCTCCACGTCATGACTTCCTTCTGCTTAGTAATTGGAGACCCTCTTATATTCTTTATTTCAGATGTGAGGTCCATTCTACAGATTTGCTCACCTTCTTGATGGTAACAAATTCATTTTCTGCATTTGTCCGCTTGTTGATCTCGTCCTCATACCTACAAGGAAATCAGAGGGATTTCGATATTTGGAGAAGGTGAGACCTCAAGTTCAGCTTCCCCAACTGAGATTGGCATCAGCTGTCATTGCCTCCTGTTATTAGCCTAGGACAGCTTGGCCACCTCTTCCTCCTGAGCAACAAAACTGCTAAGCTGTTCCCAGCTTCTGAGAAGAGGAAGAATTCTGAAAATGCCAAATTAATTGATCTCTAACCTAACAAAAGATATCACTACATACAGTCTTAGCTTAAGACTCATAGCCTTAGCTTGCCACTTCCAGGAAATATTTTAGAACACAAGTCAAGGATTGCCTGGCCAGTCTTCCTTACTTGTTCCGGTAATCTTCCACCAGGTCTTGCATGTTCTTCAATTCCGAATCCATACTAGACTGGTCATTCTTCAGTTGGTCCACTCTCCTTCTAAGATTGTTGATGTAGGACTCAAAGTAGGGTTCTAAGCTGTGGGTCCGAGTGGAGGTGTCTACCTGCTGCAGCAGCTCCCATTTTGTTTGCAGCACCTGGTTCTGCTGCTCCAGGAATCGCACCTGAGAACACAAGCCGCCATTACCGACGGATGCAGAAATGGAGTCCACTGGCCACTGAGTGCCATAAGCTACCCCACAGTGAGACCCATGCCTCGTTTGGAAAAGAATTTGTTCTTTCAAGTCCTCTTTTCCTGGCCATGGCAGAGAAATAGGAAGAAGATCAAGTTAGCATCATTTTTTTAATAACAAAATCTAACTCACTGTTAATTCACAGAAGATTTGATTTCCTGAGAAGGGTAATTTTTATACTGTTGCAGCTAGAACTTTCGAAGGGGGGTAACTAGACAAATACCAAACAGCAAAGCCCTATATAAAATTACTGCAATTACACTTGAAGCGGTTACATGATGCTTAAGAGATTTGCCTTTCAACCTTTTTAGGTAGATTGCCATAAACATTGGTATGCATTCTGTAAGCATTCACACATTCAGAGGTATGTTGGGGAAATCCAAAATAGAATTTGGAATCTATTGTGGATAACTTTGAGTTGACAGTATAAGTATAAAAAAAAAAAAAAAAAAAACTTGTACCAAGGTAACATTTTCAGAGGGCAGAGCTCCCCTCCTGAAAGCAAAAGATGTTTGGTGCAACTTACTACATCCTTTCTGCTACAATATCACAGTGCACTCTATTTACCCTCAACTCCCTTTTTACGGTTAGGAAGACCTTTCCAGAACTCTCATTTGCACCCTAGAGAGCTGAGTTAGCCCCATTTCTATTGCCTTCATTCACCATATGTAAGTCCCAATTCAGCTCAAGAGCTGAATGAAAAGACACTTGAAGGTGACGTCACATTGACCCACACTTATGTAGCCCACGACCTCTTTGTTCAAGAGAGAGTTTAGTCATTAGAATCATTCACAAGAATACTTATAACATCTCCTAGAAGACAATTCCACAAAATATCCAAACAGAAACTTGAGGCTGAAACCCAAGCAATCCCAAATGGACCAAGAGCAGCCCTCCACGTGTGCACTGAGCAGATAAACTCACCTTGTCAATGAAGGAGGCAAATTGGTTGTTGAGTATCTTGATTTGCTCCCTTTCTTGAGTCTTTACTCTTTGGATCTCAGGGTCAATCTCCACATTAAGGGGTTGCAGAAGGCTCTGGTTGATGGTGACTTCCTGTATGCCACCAGGGGGGCAGAAAGGCCCAAAACCGCCTCCACCAAAACCACCTCCACCAAAACCGCCTCCACCAAAACCACCTCCACTGCCAAAACCTCCATAGCCGCCACCACCAAAACCACCACCCCCAAAGCCACCACCCCCAAAGCCACCACCACCATAACCACCACCAAAACCACCACGTCCACCTCCTCTGGCCACACTTATGGAGATACTCTTACTGCCACCAAGGTTGACAAGGCTTCGACTTCCAAAACGACCGCCACCACCACCACCTCCACATCTTCCCCCTGAAAATCTCCCACCACCTCCCCCGCTGTGGCGCACAGAGCTGCTAGTGGTCCTGCGTTGGAAGCTGACCGCTCCGGCAGAGCCAGAGCTGAAGCCCCCTCCACTCCGGAACCCAGACCTAGAACTAAAGTTTCGATTCATGCTGCCTTGGAGAGAGTTGGAGCAAAGTCGGAAAAGGAAAGGAGCTCACACTCCTCTACCCCAAGCACAGAGACTGTTCCTTATATACAGGGAGTGCATGGGCTTGGTCCTCGAGTCAGCGGGACACAGAGCCTGTCAAGGGTTTGGTTTGCCTGCAGCCATACAAGATTTTTACGAGCCTCAACAATACGAGAAACACTACACACCTAACTCCCAGGATAGCTCTCAAAATTGCTGTGCATGCAAGATCGATTATGTGGTAATCGTTTTATCGGACAAGATCTCTCTTCGAGTGCTTGTGACTTTGGGAAAATAGGACCCTGCATCTGCCACCTGGTGCTTCTTGGTAGGATTTCATAACCTCCTGTCACAGAGATAGGTATGTTCCCATTCTTGCCTTGCCCTTGTAAGCTGCTAAGCACACTGTCCCCTCAGGCCTGGCAGGTGCAACTCCTCACGCTCGAATCGGAGGAGGAACTCTCCGGCCCATTTCTGAGATTGCTCTCTAGAGCCCAGAGCTCACCAAGTCATATCTCCTGACCTCGAATAAGAGCTTTAATAAGTGAAAAATTAAAAGAACTTATTTTTATTACATGTGCATTAATATTATAGGAAGAGACACTGGCAGAGAATAGGATGGATGGGCAGGTGCTCTGGAAGGGCCAGAGGAAAAGACATGTTCTTTTCTAAGTTTGCCAGTTGTTCCTTTTCCTCAGAGACAGGCTGGGGCAGGAGATGGAGACGCCAGCAAAAGGAAACTGGTGCAAATGGAGGGCAGGCAGATGCCGGTGGGAAAAGCCAAGAGAGCTGGGAGGTAATGGGGAGAACCTAGTCCATACATTCTGTAAAGCAAAGGGATGGAAGTGAGGCTTCACAGAGGCTTGGGGCCTGACACCAGATGACATGGAAAGACGACTGTAGATTTGGAAGGGAGGACAAGGATGCGAGTCTGGAAAGCCTGATCCGAGAAGTGAAAACTGTTTCCGGACAATAGTAATGGCAATAGTAACGGGTATGATAAATAGCTAAGATGGATGAAAAACCGGCGCAGTACCAGGCACTGTTCTACAGCTTTTATATGTATTCACCTATTTCATTTTCACAACTCTGAGACAGATGCTATCATGCTATCCGTTTTTAAAACAGGGAAATTGAGGCACCAAAGCTCCAATTTACAAAGGTGGTAAGGGGCATGGCGGGGAGTTGAACTGCAGATGCTGAGTGACAGTGTGCGGGATCCTAACCAGTGTGTTGTCCATTGTCATGGACAGAAGTGGGGTTGAGATCTGGAATGACCTGAGCCCCACATAGACTTCCGTTCGGAGACTCCTTCGAAGCCCAGCCTGCTCCCCACACTTGCACATGAACACAGAATTGAAGACTCGGTGAGAAGCCAGTGCTAAGTTCAGTGGGCTCTGCGCAGCTCCGAGTGGTAGATCACAGGCCTGGGTGGGAGGTCCCCGCTGTGGGATACAAGACACAGGGGAGAAGACCCTCCGGCCGGGTGCCCTGTGCCCATGAGGCAGCACAGCTGGATGTCAGCCCTCCCCAGCCCCACCTCGCCGCTGAGCCTTGTCCCTTCCTTTCTCCCACGGGTTTTGCACACACCCTCCTCCAGAAAGTGCCCCTCACCTCTCCACTGGTCCCCCTCTCACCCCTTATCTTTGTGATGCTGTTGTCTGGGACTCGGTTCTAACACTAACATCTGTGGGCTGCTAAACCAGCCATCTGTCTGGGGAATGAGTAATTCAGACCTTGTTCCTAACTAGGAATAATGGGACCTGGGACGGTCTTGGCATGGTAATGACTGTTGCCTAATCACCTCCTGACGAGCAATCAAAATTCTTCTAGTTCAGCACACTCCCTTGTGAGACTTGTCACTCTGCACATTGATTCTTTCTAGCAGTTTGGAGGGGTGTGCCCCTGTGTGTGCATGTGTGTGTTTATTCTCTCGCCTCTGCCAGCCAACAACAGATCTCTCGGGGACCCGTTCTTCCATCCCCAAACTGAGAAACTGACAGTAAAAGCCAAGAGGTGGACAGTCAGACAATTGATAGACAATTTACAGAGCTGCAGAACTTACTGTAGGGGCTACGGTGAGGAGGGAGAGTCAGAGGGAAAAGAAGAAACGAGAAGGTATAAAAATCACCATCAGCTGACATTTTGCGCACTTCACCTGACCGAGCACATACACCAACGCTAGCCCCACGGGAACCACGAGAACGAAGCAGTCAGACTGTTTGGACCCATTTTACAAAGTGGAAAACCAAGGCGCAGGGAGATGAGGGGACTTGCTTAGACACTCCAGCCCGGAAAACACACATCTGGGACTAGAACCCGAGTTTCCTGGTTTCAGTTCAAGTGTTCTTCCTTCTAAACATGAGAAGAGGCTCAAGGACAGGCAAGTGGAAGAGGTTCCTGTACATGAGCATCAGATGACGACAGAAGATTCCCATCGACAGGGACTCAAAGACCACACCATCTAACCCGCCAATCAAACACGTGAGAAGGCAGACCCAACGAAGTCAAAACATGTGTCCAAGTCATGAGATCCATTCCTGGGAATCGTCCAGTTTCTGAATCAAACTCCCATTCTGTTCCCATGGCTCACTTTTGCGGGAACCCAGCGGGTCTGGAAGCTGCGATGCCACCAGCCATCCCAGCTCATCCTTCCCTGCCATGTCCCCAGGACCTCAGTGAGTGTGCAGTGATAGTAAAAGGCAAATGTGGGAGAAAAGCGTGAGCCACGCACCCTTCCTCCTGGCTTCCTTGCAGGCCCTGCATTTATAAAATAAAGAGAGCATGAAAGAGGAAAGAGGCACCCACATCCACAGGCACCGACTATGAGCTAGGAGCCGCATCTCATCTAAACATCACCCAACGTCCTCACCATGGTCACTAGGATTAGCCCCATTTTAAAGAAGAGACAACTTAGGTTCATGGAGGTTAAAAGACATGCCCCCAGCTGGGAACTGACAAGCCAAGCCTGTCAAACTGCAAGAACATGCCTGCCTCTATCCCAAAGGCCTCCTCGTGTCATGGGCCCACCCCCACGGCCTACAGGTTTCCTGCCGCCCACTCGCTGAGCCTCATGTCTTGACCTTCCCACTCCCATGCTTTATCCAAACCATTCAACCCTCTTCCCTCTTCCTCTGTTCCTCTCCATCTGACGAACCCACTCACACTCTTCCCTCCCTGATGGGTCTTGCAGCCTGTCAGTGACCCACTTCAAACCTCTACTCATAAGCAAGCTCTGGGGGCACCCACAATCTCCATTCCTGAGCATTTGGGCCTGAATCTGGATTTGTCCATCAGGCCTTGAGAGCAAATGCCTACATCTCCCCTGCTCCGCCAGGCAGTGGACAAGGCCCACTCTTCCAGGGAGTTTTCCTTGATTAAAGCCACTCGGCTGCTCCATTGGTTTCTTTTTCTAAGCTCAGTTGCTGCCAGATTCAAGTGCATATTCACATGTGTGTGTATGTGTGTTTGCTAGTCCCTCAATTGCTCTGGAAGCCTTTTGAAAGCAAAACTAAGTCCTCTGTGTCTTTGGATGCCCTCCTCGAACACCAATTGCTCTAGCCTCCCACATAGTCCCCTGCACCTGAAGGGTACCCCCATCCGTGCTGGATATCAGAGTGCCAGAGCACTTCCAATCCCAAGGACCCACACATATACCCCAGAACCGATCACTGGGATGAAGCTGCCACAGGCAGGCTGCGGGCATGGGCAGGAGCAAGGGTGGTGATGTTTTGATAGCTTTTTGCAGGATGGGACTGAGTTGAAGAGAGACATGCAATGACAAGCCATCCAGCCCTGCGGGACTCCACCAGGGACAAGAGAAGGAAATTTCAGGGGAGTGGGGAAAGCTGAAGCCTGGGGGGCATAAAGGAGAGTCGCAGACAATGGGGAGGCGGGGTGAGATGTGGAAAGCTGGCAGCCAGCAGAGGAGGGGCCGAGGCTTTTTATGCAGAAGGAAGAGGTGCCCAACTAGGGAAGCCTAGGACAGATAGCAGGGAAAGAGGCCCCCAGTGGCTTGCTAGCAGGTTTGGCGCAGAATAGAGGCCAGGAAGGAGGAAGCCAAAGATGAACATGTAGGAGAGGGGGGGTGGATGTTGTCTGAGCTATGGAGTCAGCCAGAGACCCGCTCTTGACTGCAAATTTCTAGCTGTGTGACTTTGGGTAGGTCACTTGCCCTCTCTGAGCCAGAGTTTCCGCATCTAAAAGAGGGACTGCATCTACCTTAGAGGGAAACCAAAGTGTAGTAGATGCTAGATAGAGGAAGAGGGAAGGATTCTCTCTCACTATTGTATTTGGAAGGATCCAGAAGATGATATAACAATCAGGAAAAACTTTGGAACAAGACCCGGTTTCACTGGAAACTAAAAAGACCTGGAAAAGCAGCTTAAGTTTTTGCGATAAGATCATCTTGTGGATGAAAGCCTTGGGGGAGGAAGGGAGCATAAGTCTATAACAAGGAAGGTAGGGGCCCATCACACACAGGAGGGAATGCTGAGTGCACCTGCAGCCCAAGGGGGCTAGGCTAGCTGGGAATTACCGTCACTGTGGAATACCCGTTCTGTAGAGTGGGGACAAATCCCCATGCTGAGCATGCTGGAACAGGTGTGGAAGCTGGAACACACCCTCGGAGCCCCCAGAAGCCCTTCCAGCCGGGCACTGAGACATTCAGAACCAGTCCTCACAACATCCAAAGTTCCCAGCTCAGTCTTCAACAGAGTGTTGATCAACCTGAAGACACACAGTTTCCTGGACTGATCAGAAAGCTGATAAAACCAGGGCAGCAGGTCCAACCAAATGATGGGAGTTATACTGAGCTTGAAGAGGGCCTATCAGAGCACATGGCTCTTGATTGGAAGACGCATCCTGGGCCAAAGGTCCAGTAATGGAGGGTGAAGCAACACTCTTCACAGGCTTCCTGATATCGAGGACTTTCCCAGCCCAGAAACGTACACCTTGTCCAAGGTCAGACAGAGTTAGAATTT